CTCCAACATCGTGAAACGAAACATCCGATACATTCCTTGATCTCTTTAAATGATGAAAGAATTTTTCACCCATTTCGAACGTTGAAGTATGATAGGGGTATTCCCCATTTTTTTGGACACCTTGTATATTCATGCAAGTATGTTTATACATGTGATACAAATTCATGCCAACATACATGCGAGCATACATGTATTCAATCCATGCATACAGAGTGAAGATAATACAGCCCAACGCTTATCGAGACATACATGCAAAATAATCGTTTTTTTAATGTTTAAAAAAATATATCTCGAAAACTATGCATAGACGGACTTTTTGACCATTAGGTTTTTTGTTCGGAATGATGAGAACTATAACATAAAAAAATTCCAGCCAATTTAACCGATGGCCAATTTCTCATGTAATTAGTGCGGGGTCCTTTGTAGAATATTAGAGATTTGAAATTTGTGCCGGATCTCGTAAACTCATGATTAATACGATTAATATAATTAATGACTTTTAATATCCTCATAATATTACATTTTGTTTACAGAAGAATAAATGGTCTGTTACAAAATATTTTGAAATGCGTGCAGCATTTGAAGAGCGACAACCGCCGTCGTGCACCGACTAAACCGGCCATCCTTCCTATATCTTCTCTGGAAGACATGGATATTTTCGAAGATATCGATGATGATGGTTATTCCGAAATTGTAAATCGCTACAAAAATATTTTGTATTCTATTTTGATATGTAATATTATATGTATATACTTTTTTATACAATCCATACGTTTTATTTATTCTTTTAGGTGCATTACTTTGAGTACATCGGTGGGTTCACGTTAAAGGAAGCCGTCAATTTGTGTCTAAAGTAGGCGTTGACAGATTCTTTAACGCCATCGTTTACCTGGTGGGGTCGTGAAGGAGGTCCACGATCTTTATACAATACTCGCCTTATTTTGGCAATTTACGGTATGATCATCTCATTTATTGATTTCAAGATATTTGTAGTCAGCATTATTATGATTTTCATTAACGACAATGTATTTTTTATTTCTTTTTCAGATGCTGTGTGCAGTAATCGTTACATAAACAATCCGACTCGATCGGAGTTTCAAGCACAAATGCGTGAAGCCTTGCGAACAGCTAAAGAGAGATGGAGGAGCAGAGCGCGCGGTCCACGGTCTACTCATCCTGTCAATCCAAGACCACGCGATTTTTGGAGCGACGAGCGACAAGAAGAAAACAGGAGAATAAGAGATAATTAAATTTGGTATGTGAAATTTTGATATATTAAATTTGTCCGTGTGCGTGCGTATGCTTGCGTTTATATAGTGCATGCGTGCGTGTATGCATGTGTAGAGAGAGAAAGAGAGGGGGAGGGAGAGGAGAGAGAGAGAGAGAGAGAGAGACAGTAGCCATTTTACTTTTAGTAATAATAATGATAGCTTTATTTTCTTAGTTATTTTTGTATTGTTTTTCTGATATACTAAATGTTCTTTTTTACAGATTACTTTCAGGAGAGGCGAATCCACGGATGGATTGCGTAAGTGATAGTGGCTGTATTTGTTTTGACGCTACAATCACTAAGGTCTGGTTTCACAACTTACTTTAATCGAAGTTTAATTCATTAATGGAGAATTCACATTACATCTGATGTCCGATGTATTCAATCGGACGTTGTACATCGGACGCAATGTGAATTTTCCATTAACGAGTTCAACTCCGGTTAAAGTAAATTGAGAAACCGGACCTAAAAGCGTTTGATTGATCAATCGGAACAAAGATTTCTCCGTTCTAATTAGTCAATCAAAGGCTTTCAGCACTTTTAGCGCCAAGACGAAAGCGGTCGGTGGACATCACTAGCGAAGAAACCAAACGGCACTTTTCAGTACCCATTTTAAAAATATTAAAGCTTCTCGGAACTTCCTCGCTTCGCAAACGGTACTTTTCAGTATCATTATGGAACCAATCGGCACTTTTTAGTGCCTATTACGGAATCAATCGGCCTTTTTCAGTGCTCATATCGAAATTAATCAGCACTTCTCAGTGCTTAATATATTTTTCATTCTTTTCCCGTGCTGATATGTAAAAATAACAGTTCTCATTAATATATATTTGGTCTTTTGTATGTTTATATAGGTTTTCGAGGCAACCTGGAGTACTTACGGAGAAGAAGGAGGAGAAGGCAACGAAGAATCTCTACGGAGCAGGCAACAAAGAAGATTCTAAATTTAAAATATATAAATTTTAAACTTAAAAACAGTTGTGTTGGATAAATATTATTTTAATTATTAAATAATTTAAAAACTTTAAAAAGTGGTGAATGTTATGTTATAATTATGTATTGTTTTGTATATTTTGATATAATTATAAATAAATGATATATAATTATAAATAAATGATTAAAAATTCATTTTTTATTTCTATATATTAATTATTTTCATTTAAATAGTTACGGCAGATCTGCTCGGTTTCTGCCGCCTATCTGCCATCAAAATGTATTGTACAGATCTGCTCGATTTCTGCCGCCAATCTGCCATCAAATTGTATTTGACAGATCTGTTCGATTTCTGCCGCCAATCTGTCATCAGATTGTGTTTCACAGATCTGCTTGGTTTCTGCCGCCAATCTGCTGTCAGATTATGTCAACAGAATCTGCTGACAAAACATAAGCTTAATGCGGACGCAGTTGATGCCAATCTGCCGCGATACTCTGATCGAATTTGCTGCCAATCTGTCGACATACTGCTAACATTTTGCTTACTGGGTAAGTCTCGAATGTACAAAATGTCCGTCGTCCGAGTGTGTGTGTCGGCCGCGTGAAATATGTCTTTTGGTAGTTCGTTTGCGAATCTCCGCGTCTCAAATTTTGCGTGCACATTCGGTGCAAATTTCTTCGAAATTATTGTAAGAATAACGTGAGTGTGTGTGTGTCGAGCG